GAACTCTAAAGTTTCTTTCTAAAGTTAACTCCAATTTGAAAACAAATATACTCACGTCTTCTTGTCAGAACAAAAAGATCACAGAGGAATATGCAGTCAAATACAATATTATATTTAATCCATGAATCGTAGAAATTTCTCCGCACTTCTTCGAATACCATAATCACAATGGTTACAAGGTTGTAAAAACAACCAAAGAACACTACAGTAGTCCATAGATAGAATACCATGCTTGTCTCATCGATTGACCAGAATAATAATCTTCTGAAAGAGCCAACACTAAGTTCTTGGTTCTTTTTCTAAATTTCCTGCAAACTCACTTATGCAGTGGCTTTTTCTCTTTTACTTCATTAACATGGGCAGCTGGCTCAAATACACGGCGTATATTTTCGAGATCAGGGCTTTTTTCCTGCTTCTTTCTTCGGTTCCGCATTTGTTTCACCCAACATCTCATTAGCTAAATTTCACTGTTACTGAACAAAGCCGCTGCCATAATAGCTGGAGAATTTCTTAGCTATTTTTTGCTTAATTTGAAGCAGCATATTCGACTATCTACTATCGTGAACCTACCAGCATCATGCGTACAACTCGCTCGAAATTGCTCTCTACAGGAACGGCAACATCCTTCTTTTCCTCTTGAGTGTTCGTTGACATTGCGTTTAGCTGTAAAGACTTTAATTGGAAAACTAGCAATCACTTGCTAGCAAAAATTATAGGAGCAGTTTAAGCAAGTACGCAACATGTCATATCAAATGTTGAAAATTTTTCTTCTCCTTTCTACGAGCGACTATTATTCAACAATGGTATGCAGGCTACTTCAGCTCTTTTCAAGAACCGTAGAGGTTGTTGATGCTAGAGTAAAAATAGGATTATTTTTCTTTTTCTTGCTCCATCTTCTCCTTTTATAACAATGCTTATTTGCATTCTATTTATCCATCCTTCCATTACATTATTTATCGCGCAAAGTATAGAGTGCCTACCTCTAAAAAAGTGGAATTATATCTTTCCTAAGTGGAATTACCGTATCTTTGACTAATTTACTGTTTTCTCAAAAAATACAAAGAAAGATGTAGATTTAGCATTCGCACTTTCTGCCTTGATACTGTCGACTTTTCACAAAGTTTAGCATTTTTTGAGTTGAGACATTATTAATATCCCAGAAATAAGATCAATGAGAGCTCTTACGAGAACACAAGAACTTTTAAAAGAGCTATAAACCTATGGAAGAAAATGCAAATTGTTATCATTACTTGTTCAATTACCAGACACCATTATTGCAATTTACATGATTATGCCCAATATAGGATAAAATGCATCTAAATAAATTAGTAGTTTTTGGGATTATGGTATAAAATCAAGATAGGGTAGACTATCTAAGAAAAGCTCGTCACTCAGAAAAAAACATTCACGAATGGAACATCCAATATATCAGGAAACTTTTGAGATGAAAACGGGAATGCAATTTTAAGATAAGCTGTCTCTCATTGGCAGGTCGATTAATGCTAGTTGCCTCTAAACGATTAATTCATTACGGATGCAACGTCTTATGTGCACGCGATGCGGTATCCAAAATACCTCTATCGACTCAACATGTTACTAGGGACTCGCAATTTATTACTTTCATTTCGTTGTTGGGATAGGTACAAACGAAACCAATATTACTTTTATTGTCAGCATTCAA